GGCTGCTCCACTTCCCATCCAGCTCTCTGCTATGGCCTGGGAAAGCAGTAGAAGATGGCCCAAGTTCTTGGGCCCCTGCACCTGCATAGGAGACCCAGAGGAAGCTCCTGGCTCCTGGCTTCAAATTGGCGCAGCTCCGGCTGTTGCAGCCAATTGGGGAGTGAATCATCAGATGGAAGACCTCTCTCTCTCTCTCTCTCTCTCTCTCTCTCTCTGCCTCTCCTCTCTCTATGTAACTCTTTATTTCAAATAAATAAGTAAATATTTTAAAAATTGTTAATTGTTAAATTAACGACAGGAGTCACTTTGCACTAACTCCCCATTCAGGACCTCTGTCCTCAGTGGGTTGCATTATGAGAGTAAACCGTAAAACCAGTTCTCAAACAGTTGTGTGTGTGTGTGTGTGTGTGTGCAAATTGTTGAAATCTTTACTGAATATAGAATTGGTCTTCTGTGTATAAAGTTAATTAAAAATGAATGTTAATGGAGAACGAGACTGGGAAAGGAGAGGGAGGAGTAAGTGGGGTGGGAGTAGGGGTGGGAAGGTAGGTATGGTTGGAAGAATCACTATATACCTAAAGTTGTAGTTATGAAATTTGTACTCATTAAATAAAAGGTTTCTTTGGGAAAATAAATGAAGTGTGAAGTGTGAATGAATAAGAAAAGATTTTTATAAAGAAATACATTTGAACAATATATATAGGGAAAGTGGAATGAAATTGTGACCTCAAAGAATCCATAATATGTATATGTATATGTATGTATACACATGCATGTATATATATATTGCATATATGTCTGTAAGCATTATGTATAGGGACATATCTAGATATATAACATTATAGATATATATCTTATTCATATACTTGTACTATTAAAAATATATATATTAATGGCAAATTATCAATATTAGATTCCACTGCTGTATAAATACATGCAGTGTAATATTTTTATTTTGAAATATACATATTTACATACTGCAAAAGGAATGAACTAATTATGGCCTATTTAATATATAATCTAAATTTTAGATGGAATTTAATATATTCCAAAGGAGTGCTTCCTATTTCTAAAGGATTTTATGTGGGACATGATCAAAAATAGAATTAGAGACACTAGTCAGCTATTTATCTTGCTACACAATTTTATGTGATACAAATGACTATTTTCTTGAAGACTCTCATATGAAGACTCTCATAAGCTTTATAAAATTATACTTTTATAAAATCTTTCTTTTCTATTCTCCCATTCTGGAGCTCCAAATAAATGTATTTTAGCTCTTCCTAGCTTGACCCATATGTATCTGAAGCTGTCTTCTGTGTAAAATATTTCTTTGTCTTTCTTAAAATTTTTTATTTATTTATTTGGAAGAGCTACAGAGAGGCAAGGCAGAGAGAAGAGAGGGGTCTTCTGTCTGCTGGTTCCCTCCCCAGATGTCCACAATGGCCAGAGCTGTGCCAGTCCAGAGCCAGGAGCCAAGAGCTTCTTCCTCGTCTCCCATGTGGGTTCAGGATCCAAAGGACCTGGGCCATCTTCTACTATTTTTCAAGCTGTAGCAGAGAGCTGGATGGGAAGTGGAGCACCTAGGACTCAAAACCTGCACCTATATGGGGACGCCGGCACTGCAGGCAGTGCTTAACCTGCTATGCCATAAAGCCAGCCTCTCTGTCTTTTTATTAGTTTACTTCAATATATTCTCCAGAGGTGTTCCAGCTTACTAATTATATCCTCTGCTGTGTCTGTTCTGTTACATCCATCAATTTCCCTTTAAATTCCATTTATGCTTGTTATTTGCATAATGTCTGTTTACATATTATTTTTATAATTTATAATTTTTCCAAATTGTTTATTTTATCATTTAATTTTGCCCACAGCTTGGAAATCAATTTATAGTTCATCTTTGATAGCCTTTATGTTGTTCCTTTGCTACTTGTGTGTTCATGTTATTGAGATTGGTTTCTGGTGTTATGTATGCATCTGTAAAAATAATTTGAAGTTTGACGATGTTTGTATCTTTTAGAGAAACTTTTCTTTATTTCCCACAGTCCTTTCATCTATTTGAATTCAGCCACTGTAAACTAGGTTTCATAACCAGTGAAAGCTAATCGGTAAATTCGTTTGGATGGGTGTTGCAGTTTTCTCTGCTTTTGGGTTTGTACCTTGTCTGGGTTCCTTTAAATCCTGAGGAATTTTCTCTCTTTGCATTTACATTTTGTGTCTCAAAATGTTGATTTCTTCTTTGACACCAGACAAAACTCTCAGAGATAAGATGTTTCCTTTATTGTACTTTCTCAGGAGAGATTTTATTTTATTTTTTTGCCAGATTAGCATGCTGAAATTCTCCCTGCCTTGTTGGCATTTTGGTCCCTTTAAGCTGATCATTTTTTTTTTACTGTTTATTTAGCTTTTCTAGTTGTTCCCAAAGAAGAGAGTTGGTTCAGAACAAACTAGTCCTCTGGTGCTGTTAACATTCATATTTTACTTGTGATTTTCAGCTTCTCACAGTTGTTCTACCTCATAGTCAGTCTGTTGCCCTGAATTCCTAGAACCATGGGAAGTGTGATCAGTGAGTGTTTCTACCCTCCTTTTCTGTAGTTTTTGAAGATTCCATAGGGGTAGTCCCCAGCTTCTCTAACTTCCCTGCCACAGCAGTCCAAATTGTCTCTTCATGTATCAATTACCATTTATGTTGGTGGACCGGTATACAGTGACAATCAATGTTTCAAATAATCTGTCACTGTATTTCATCCATATTTTTGTATGGTTGTACAAAATGTGAGTTTATATATGTATAGAAACTAGAGCAGATACTGTCTAAGCCCATCTCAGCCTTTTCTCTCCAATAAAAGTACAAATATACCTATGCATTGAAAATTACAGTACAATAGTTTGTTCAATGTTTTCTTGTTTCCTGTAAAATTAAACTTAACATATATTTGTAGTCTCCAAATATCTGGCTAACAAAATTTTAGTTACTGTAGCTGTTCTAGTAGTTATATACTTTTTCCTGAGTTCCATTAGCAGACATGGAGGCAGGTTCATGTATTTTTAGTACTTGATGGGAGGTATTCAGAAGAAAATACTAGTTATTTCTGAATTGAAGGGTAATTTTGGGTGACCCATAGAATTAGACTCTCATAGGATATTTCTTACTTTATATTCCCAGGTCATTTGGCCATTTCATCTGCCTTAGATGAAATACATTACTGTCTAGTATACTTTCATTCTTCGTCCCCCAACGCTTTAATGTCTTTCCTATGATCCCATCATTTAGCTCCTTTTTAGGCTCTTAAATGCTTTTAATACATTTATGTCTAAAAAAGTACCAGATTAACCCATCTAGATAAAAGCTTTTTAAATCCAAGTGAATTAATCCCCTTATATAGGAATTCCAATTAACTGATTTATTTTTCTAAACAACTCACTTGTTGCCCTTGATAGCCCCTATGAATTGAGCCATCATATTACTTTCTATTATATATATATTTAAATCCCTCTATTCATTTGTGTGTGTGCTGGTAATGAGTCATCATTTGCTGTGAGCAGCCAATTTTCCATGGTCAAAAAAGCCGTGTGTCAAGTAGCATCTTAGTCCTGCTTTATTCATGAAAAAGTTTCCTTATCCTTGCAAACTTAGTATAATAATTGCTCCGCCAAGTAATTACATGTACTGAATTACATGTATCCCTGGTATTGTATAATATTATTATATAGTTGCAGCTTTTAATTTTCTTAAATGTGCTACAAATGTATTTTTAGGACAAGTATAGGCATCAGTCATCATCTTACCTAAAATTTCTCTTTGAAATGGGAGAAATTTGATAAATATTTTTACTTGAGGTGGAATAAAATTATTATAAAGGTGAATGTATATGTAATGAGTATGGTTTACTTATGTGATAAACTGGAGAGTTAATCTGAAAAATGATGTAGATATAATTGCCAGTGTATTTTCAAAGTTCCCTAGATGTTAATTCCATAATTTTTATTAAATTAACATCAATAGTCAAGTATCAAAAGCTTGCTTATTTTTTGTTAGAAATGAAGCATGTAAAAGTTTTTTTTTAAATTCCGGTTTGTTGCAAATGATGACTTGGTATTGCCTAAATGTGCTCTTATTCATTTTTACCTACTAGCTAGCTTGAATATATAGCCATTAATAACTTTTCTAGCATATCAAACATTATAAAATTAAAGCTATATTTTTCTTTAAATATCATAATAAATGAAGAATTCCCAAAGACTTCCAAATAATATTTTTTGGTATTTTTTCATTTTTAATGTTTTTCTTAAGATATAACTTTACCGCACTTTCATGTAGAAAATTAAGGAGCTAGATCAGTGGGCAGTCTTGACAAATGACAAAGGTTTGAACTGTGGAATATCTAAATCAGTCCAAATGTTCTTCTCAATTACATCAGCAAACCCACTCAGTAAGTCTAAAAAGCAAGTCAGATACTTTAAGGTCTTAATGAATTACATAGTTTTTTTTTTTTTTTTTTTTTTTTTTGACAGGCAGAGTGGACAGTGAGAGAGAGAGACAAAGAGAAAGGTCTTCCTTTTTCTGTTGGTTCACCCTCCAATGGCCGCTGCAACCGGCGCACTGTGCTGATCTGAAGCCAGGAGCCAGGTGCTTCTCCTGGTTTCCCATGCGGGTGCAGGGCCCAAGGACTTGGGCCATCCTCCACTGGCTTCCCGGGCCACAGCAGAGAGCTAGACTGGAAGAGGAGCAACCAGGACAGAATCCGGCACCCCGACCGGGACTAGAACCCAGTGTGCCGGTGCTGCAGGTGGAGGATTAGCCTATTGAGCCGCAGCACTGGCTAAATTACATGGTTTCTAAGAGTCCATATTCATGGGGTCAGCATAAGCTATAAAAATAAGAATGTTTGAAAATACCTAGACATAAATAATTTTCTAATGAAAGCTTTAAAATACACATTTATCAATTAATGTATATTTTTACTGGTTATTGAATACTGTTAATAGGTTTTTTGGTTGGGTTTTGTGTTGTTGTTATTGTTGTTTACTGTTTTCTGTATTGAAGCCAACGTTTTTGATTTCTCTGCTTGTTCTCTACAGGGCTTCAAGTTCTCCTTCCAGACTATCTCCAGGAGTGCTTTGTACAAGCAGCTCTGAGCTACATCGCTTGCAATTCGGAAGGAGAGTTTATCTGCAAGGACAATGACTGCTGGTGTCAGTGTGGCCCCAGGTTCCCAGAATGCAACTGCCCCTCCATGGACATCCAAGCTGTGGAAGAGAATCTTCTTCGAGTAACTGAAACCTGGGAAGTCTACAACAGCAACTTTGAGGAGTCAGGTAAGGCACATGTTCTCATGAACATTTTCAAACCTTGATCAACAAATACCTAAAGATTTGCCTTCCAGGAAGAATCTACTATACACTTGGAAGGTCTTTTTAATTATTCTTTCAGATGGACATACATTGCTCTTATGACTGGCTTGTCAGAATTTTGCTAAAAGAATGTCTGGTGCTTTGTGTATTACTATGCTACTGACACTACGGTAGAATCTGCTATTAAAATGATGTAGGCATTTATTAAAGAAAAGTCTTGCTTTTCTCCATGCAAGAATTTTCATCTGACAGTTCTACCTTGGCTAGTGTTCCCTGAATTTCGTTTGTGAGACCAAACATAGCATTTGTTCTACACCTTGTTTACATGAACATGATTTCCCTAAGGGCTCACCCTCATGCAACTACTTATTTTAGAAGCAAAGTGTATCCATTTTATTTAACAGTGCATATCTTTTATGTCATTCTAAAATTTTATTAGTGTGTGTGTTTCCAATATTTTTTTACTTATTTGCTGCATAACCTGTAGTAGTATACATGTATAAAGCATTGCTATTTAAAGCAATATAAGACTATTGATAGGGCTTATTAATAATTCATGTTAAAAGGATACAAAAATCGCTGCAGTGTGGTGAGTTTGATTATATAGAATTTAATTGGAAATGTTTTATATGACTAAATTTTAAATAAGCAAAGATGTTTCAGCTGCAAAGATGTGCTTGTGTATTACAATTCATCTGATGTGTCATTTCTTCAAACACACTTAAAAGGTGTCCAAAATATGTATCAAACAAGAAAAAGCATGATGGTGATTTCAACAGAACATGGACTTTTGGTTGGAAAAAACCAAGGTATTATATAGAATAAAACGGTGTCTAGATTTGGGAAGACTGATAATTTAAAAAGAGTTAAGATTATTTAGAATACATATATTAAGCAAAAGACTTCATGAATACAAAAGAACTCACAGACGCAGAGAGAGGGATGGTAGATACCAGAGAAAGGAGATGGAGGAGCTAGAATTCTGATGACAAAATGTTACAAAGTTTCAGTTAGAAAGGATGAAAGACTTTTTTATGTTCATTGCAGAGATATGACAACAATGAATAATAATGTATTATATATTATCAATTTTAAGTACATATATTCACATATTTTCTTTACAAAAATGATACGTTTTTGAAGTGAAAGATACATGGATTAATCATGGCCGATTGTACACATGAATCATGACATCAAATTATACACCATAAAAGGATTTTCAAAAAGTTCATAGAAGTGCATATTTTGAAAAAACTGTGGATTTCAAGAAATGTTTGCATCAAAATAAAACATTTTGTTTCAATTTCCCTGATCTTTTTGAAGTAGCCTTATATACAAATGATCAGTTGTCAATTTACAACCAAATTTTAAAAGATCAACTATGAGGAGAGGATTGGCAACAAAATAGGCAAGGATGGGAAACCCAAAAGAATGATGAATGTATTCTGAGATTCTGCACTTGCTTTTCCTTTTGGCATATTATCCATATTCAAGACATATTTCAAGACTGAGAATAAAGTATCAACCCCTGGAAAATGCTGCTGCTCCCAGATAGAGAAACCAGAAGAGCTTTTTGCAGTCACCCTAGACTTAGGTCATATAATTGGGAGCTTAAGGTGTCTTAAGTGTACAGACCATCTCTCCTCTGGGACAACTCCTTTATTCTGAATCTGCACATGACAAGTGGATAAAGATTTACACTGGTAAATCCTGGATGTGGAACTGAGTCTTTTGCAGTAGTGCAGGCTTGCCATTTCACATACTAATCAGGTAACGTGGCAGAACAGGAATAAACAGAGGAAAATAGAGTCCTATTGAAATCTAGCATTGGCACAGCTCACACTGTGATCCTTAGGAGTTGATTCTGAAAAGATCAACTCTCCATCTGCAGCATCTAATAAATGATTGAGAGGGCGTGCTCCTGAGGAAGAAAACATTTTCTGGGACCACTGTGATTCTTTTTAAACAATATGATGGATATAGAATCCTAATTTATAAATATGTGTGCTGACAAAATTTTATGGATAGTATTACAGAGAAATAAACCAGAAAATAGAAGCTGTGTTATCTAGATTGTAAACTAGAAGGAAATAATTTCAGATTATTATTACTGAAATATTTGAGCAAAAATTGGAAAGAAGTATAAAGTAGATAAAATACTGCAAACTTAATTATAGATTTGTAATATATGAAACTGATTAAAGAACATTCTAAAACAAAAAAATTGAACATCTAAAACCAATAACTCAAAGTTTCATTTTGATAGGCGTTTTTGGGACAGAGCATGATAGGGCTAGTGAACACAAAGACAGATTAATGGAATACACAGAAATGAAGGCAGTGAAGACTTACGTCAGCATGGCATCAGAGGCACAGTAAACCTGCAAGAAATTAAAGTTTATTCAATCAGGAACAAGGAAATCAAATGAGAGTTACTTGATGGCACCAAATAAAAGCGTAAGAAGAAAATGGGAAAAATTGGCACCCAGAGATAAATGTGTATTGTTTATGTCACACTCTCTCTACTACTGTGTTTGAAATAAAAAATTTAAGACTTTTATTCATTTTTCATGTGTTTGTTGAAGAGTGCCATTGGCCTCAATAAAATATGTCAAGTGAGATAAAATTCCATTGTAAATGGCATTATGTTAAATGTTACATTTTACTTGTTACATTACATTTACTAAGTAAAATATTAAAATTATAGGACTTGATAAAGTAACAGGATTGTTTCTGTTATTAAAGATATACTTTAAATATAAAGGCACATATAATTTAAGTTGAAGAGTAGAAAATATAAATAATGTAAAAATCTTCCAAAATAATACTTGAGTAAATTCTAAATCAAGTTACATTAATTGAAATATAAATATTTTATAACAAATAGTGCAACATGAATATATACAAAATATTAGTTTATATGGAGCTAAACTTAAAAATTATACCAAATTAGTTATAGACAAAAAATGAACTTTATCCAAGACTTTTGAAATAAAGGAGAAAGACTTGTAATAGAAGAGAAAAATTGAACTCAACATTCAAGAAACCAAGGGCTGCAGGATTTTCAACAAAGGCCTGAGCTCAATGGAAAGCACTGGTGGGCATTCACAGTGAACTTGACAAGCTGGAGGAGGCCATTGGTGTTTGCTAATTATCTCTTACTGAAGTTAGGCTCCCCTTCTTCCAGAGAATCCCACCTGTTTTCCACAATCATTACATTTCAAAAGGGTGCCCCCAGATCCTGAAGAAAGGGGCAATTTTTGTGCAATATTTCCATCTCAATAAAAAGGAAGAATTTACAATTTTCTAAAATGAATGTTCTATGAACAGAGACATCAGTGATTTATCATTAACTTAGAAAAATTGAAGAGAATGTTTGACCCTCTCGGTCAAGACTTAATAACATGTATCCAAATAACATGAAGAAAAATGTCAAACACACACACACACACACACACACACACAAATGTGAGATTTTAACCTGTCTTTCAATAAATGAAATTATAAATTGGATATTATTAGATTAAGCATTTTTGGTTGTTGCTGCTGTAGTCTTCCTTAATTAGATGTAAATTCAGGTTTTTATGAAGATTAGTATGTTGTTTGCCAGCTTTTTAAAGCTAATAAACTCAAGGTCTTTGCCTGTGAAAATGATGTTTATATGAAAACTAAAGACTGATCTTTAAATAATTAGATTTACTTACAAAACAGCAGAGGTCTTTGACTTCTTTTAATGGTAAATTAATTTCAGAAACATATTGCACTAAATATTTTTATGCATCAAATAGACAGTCAATATTTATAAATTATGGGCTACAAGTTATAAGATTGAATTGTAGAGAGGTAAGATCAATAATGGAGGCATCTCTTGTCAAAAAGGATATTTAGGGCATCTGAGAAGTGAGTGAGAGATAGAAGTGGAATTTGGAAGCATTAAAGGTCCAAAGTAATGGATGTTGGGTCTTCTAAAAGCAGGGAGTACAAAGCAGAATTAAATTAGTCTTTGCAAGGTCATCAATTGAGATTGAAGTCACTGCCCATGCCTAGAACATCCTAATGTCTGAAACTTGTTTAAGTGGATCAAGTACTGTCAAGTTCTATTCAAAAATAAATGACCCTGGGAAAAAAATAACATGTTTTAATCTCAAATGTAGTGAGCAAATATTTTCTATTTTAAATTTAATTTCTAATAAAAAACTATTTAGGTACTCTAAAACATAACACAAAATGAATAAGAAGCAGCATATGAATAGGGCTTGTGCTATCACAGACTCAGAGAGAATGTAAGAAAAATACAATTAATATGTTCATAGAATTAAAGAACAAATTTTATTTTTAAAAAGAACTCCAATAGAACTTGTAATATGTTAATTAGTAAAATTAGAATTAACAGTTAATCAATAGAGTAGACATAGCTTACAATTAATTAGTGTATTAAAGATAAGTTAGAGGGGAGCTGGCACTGTGGCACACTAGGTTAATCCTCCTCCTGCTGGCGCCAGCATCCCATAAGGGCGCCAGTTCTAGTCCTGGTTGCTCCTCTTCCAATCCAGCTGTCTGCTGTGGCTTGGGAAAGCGGGGAAGATGGCCCAAGTGCTTGGGCCCCTGCAGGAAAAAGCACCTGGCTCCTGGCTCCGGATGGCATAGCTCCGGCCTTTGTGGCCATTTGGTGAGTGAACCAGTGAAAGGAAGACCTATCTCTCTGTCTCTCTCTGTCTCTCTGTCTCTCTGTCTCTCTCTCTCTCTCACTGTCTGTAACTCTACCTGTCAAGTAAATAAATAAAATCTTAAAAAATGATGTTAGAAGAAACTATCCAGAATAAAGAAAAATTAGAAAAAACAATAAATGTAAAATATTATTAGTCAACTTAGAGAATGTAGGAGAAGTCCTAACATACTTAAACGTTAAGTTGTAGTCCAAACAGAGGATGCACAGACAATGGCAAAAATAATATTTGAAGAAA